ACTCCTTCTAGCCCCGCAAAAACTCTCGTGTATGACTCCTCAACCTCGTTTCAAAATTAGAGAAAGGTTCTTCCTCCGTAAAACCCCTTTTCTCAAGAATCTCAAGATTCTTCAAAAATTCTTTCTCAAAATATTTTACAAAACACTCAGCTCATTTCATCAAAAAACAAAAATAAAAAATTTGAGTCCATGTATTTCTTAAAAAATGCTTCTCAAAATATTTTTACCGTCGAAGATGGGTTTTACTATAGTGACCCTTTTAAGATAGTTCAAAAATTCTTTGGTTCCGTTGGCACTTCAAACCTTAGGATTTATCCAAAACACAATCCGATTATATGGTCATCCTAAAAACAACGAACCTCGGTAATATTCAAACACTATCCTACCCCGTACAATACGAAAATCGCGTATTCAACCTATCGTATCCTAAAAATCATCCATCCTCTTAACTAGGGTTATGATCTTTCAAAATCAATTGCCTTCCCAGCAAACTTTAAAACCACTACCAAACATTACCTTACCTACTCATCCCGGGATTATCAACGAGCTCGGTTTAATGCTCCTTTTCTTACAAAATAAAAGAGGAAGCCACTCCCGGCTCTTTTATTTTGATACAAAAATCGAGACCTCAAAAATTCCCGTGTGGTTCCTCCAATGGTGGAATTATTTTAGGTATATCCCGTAAATACTTATCCCGAGTGTTTTCGAAAGCTACAAACTTTTCCAAATAAATTATGACCCCTCGAAAAAGAAAAATGTTTCTCCCTATTTTCTTTTTCTCGTACAAAGTTCTTTTTATCATGGGTTTGTTCTTGGTATTATGATGTCAAATATCATGATACTACCTTAATCTTAACCAGGAGATTCAAAATCAAATGATGGGATGCTTTCAATGTTCCTTCATCATGTCAAAAGCCTCGGTTGAACAATGGCTCACAAAACAGGGCCTACTCAAACCAAGCTTGGCCATTTCAAACTTCCTAGCCCAAAGATCCTTTGTTATGGCCAAGTTAGCATCAGCAAAAATCGAAGAATAATACTTTGCAATTATGTCACAATTACTGCAAAGTATGTCGAATCCTCCCAAGCATCGGATTCGAACCCGCCATAAACTTGGGTGACGACAATGAAAATGACTCGCTTTGGAATATTCCCTCATATACACCACTTATAAGTTACAAGAACAAAATTACTTTCGACGTCTTACTATTCATCCACATGTGAAGACACCGTTCAAGACAAAAACAAAAATACTTTTGGCGTCTTACTATTCACACACGTGAAGACACTCATTCAAGGCAGACTTTCTTTTCTATATAAGAAAGCTCATTTCTCATTTTGAAACAGAGTGGTTTTTGGAGGCCATTACTTAGAACATCGTTTTCCTCTATAACCTTGTTATCTTATAATCCTTTAGAAATATTCAAAACAAAACATCAACAAGGAAATCAAACAAATTTTTGTGTACTCTTGCTTATTCAAAACTCGTTATTTTATTAATAAATAAAATTACATATCTTATGTTTTATTCTCTATCATGATTCTATGGTATATCGATTGGAAACTAATAACAAAACCTTTGGGGACTCGTTCTATCGGGTGGTTTAACCTTTGGTGTAACAACACCACGTACCTAGAATTTGTTTTAATTTCTCATTCCATATCTGCTAATGGTCGGCTCTGCTGCCTTTGAACTCGTATTTTAGTGGTCGGCTCTGCCGCCCAATCCCATTTTCCCATTTTCAATTGTTCATTTCAATTTATTTAATCTCATATCTGCATCATTCATTGATATTCTAGGGAATAGATGGTGTATATATATATATACACACACACAGAGAGAAGAAGGAAAAAGGAAACAAAACGCACATACGAGGACACGTTTTAAAGAAAAAAATGAAAGAAGAAACAAAACATGCTTGCCGGGACAGGTAGATATATATATATAAAAAGAAAAAAAAAGGAAAAGGCCAAGCCTAGTGGCTCGTGCAAACGAGCCCACGCGCCGAGCTCGGGCTGCTGCCGAAAAAAAACACCGCAACTTCCAAGCAAACTCGAGGTCACCGGAAGATTCGTCGAAAAATCGAGGGTCAAGTTTCGGACCCTTAAAAATTGAATTCTCGTATCATTTTTTCCCCAAAATACCTCTAAATGACCGGAATAAAGTCAATAAACACATATAAAACCTTAAAAATCATTTTAATATGCAACAAGATAAAAAAATAAAAACACAATCAAACCGAACTTTTTTTCCTTTTTTGGCTCCGATCTACCTCCTCTAATTGTTTAATGACTTGAAACCATCATTGACAAACTCATCTCTCGAAGATGAAAAAATCTAATGGACTTTCGTCGATCAAAACGGCCTAAATAAGCTTGATCGGCGATATCTCTCTCATCCCTCCTCTCTCTTCCTCCCTCCCTTCACTTTACACCTATTGACCAAAACGAATTAGCAAATGAAGATGCGGATCGAAATATTCGTTTGAAAATATCGAGACCAAAACATAAAAAGTGGCATAATTTTCACCCATCAAAATCCAAAAAATCACGAAAATGCCATCCACAATGGATTGAGTCTAGTGCTATAGTAAGTGAATAGTAAAACCTTCACTTCTTTTAGTTATATAGAATAATTAAGTTGGATGGAATCAGCATTGACTTTTCTAAACTTTATCAAATTTTTAATTTTTCCATTTCATCCATTGAACTAATATAACTAATGATATAATATTTTTATATACGTATATTTCAATCAACTTTCTAAATTATTTAAAAAAAATCGTAATTAAATTCGCATTCTTCAATTATATTAATTATCTTGTTTTTTAAATTAGAGTTATATATTTTTTATCTCATGTTTCTTAAATTTATAAACTTTTAAGATATAAAAATATCAGTAAAAATACACAAATTCAAATTATATATAAATCATATTCATCCATAAAATTAATATAACTATTGATATAATATTTTTATATATTTCAATTGACTTTTTAATTTTTTCAAAGAAATCTTAATTAAACTTGCATTCTTCAATTATGTTAATTTTCTTTTTCTTTCAATCAGAGTTATATATTTTTTATCTCATATTTCTCAATTTTATAAACTTTCAACATATAAAAAATATTGTTAAAATTATAAAAACTCAAACTATATATATATAAATCATATTCATCCATTAAACTAATATAACTAATGATATGAATTTTTTTATATTTCAATTGACTTTCTAAAAAAACTTAAATGAAATCTTAATTAAACTCGCATTCTTCAATTATATTAATTATCTTTTTTTAATTACAGTAATATATTTTTTTATTTCATATTTCTCAAATTTATAAACTTTTAACATATAAAAAATATTGGTAAAAATACATAAATCATTTATGCTTTAATAAAATCATAACTATTTAAAAAATATTGCAAACCAATCAACCAGCTTAATTTGTTGCAAGTTCATGTCATTTTCTTTACAAGTTTACTTTTGTGCATATGCGTACGTACGTGTCCAAACCTCGTCTGATGTAACCTACCATGGACATTGCATACCTGAAATTACATGGATACCAGCTCATAGCTCAGACGCCCAAGCAAGAATGGATGCAGGGGAAGGATATTGTTGTCAATGAAGGATCAGGAGAAGAATTCAAAACTGCAAGCAAATAAAATTAATTTAGAATGGTTAAAAGGGCCAAAACTAAACTTTAATTCATTAAAAGATTATTTCTTGCACTTTTAATTTGTGTTTTGATTTTTTTTAATTTTTTTTAATTTAATCCCATCTGTAATTTTCAACTTTCACTCATTTCCTCTAAAAAAATTCAGTTGTTATTTTGATTTGAAATTTTGCATATATATTGAGAAAAATCCAATCTTTTTTGAAAAAAAATTCTAGACTTTTTAAAATCCAAAATTATATGTGTTTATTTTTAAAACATTAAAAATATAAAACATAAAAATAATCCGAAATGATCTCAAATTTTTAAAAAAGTTTCATATAAATTTTACTGAATAATTTTTATTATGAAGTTTTTATGCATTATTATTTTTTAGAATAAATGATTTTAAACCTAACGGATAGACTATTTTTTTAAAAAAAAAATTAAAGGTCAAAAAAACAAAATTAAAAAATTAAAAATTAATTTTCAAATAAACTAAAATTCAAAGATGATTTTATCCTTTTAGCCATTTAAAAAATTAGCCGCTAATTCTTTTTCTATGATTTCCATTCTTTCTTTATTTAAATGATTATGCTAGGAGCTGGATCAAGCAGTCAACTCCCCTTATGAGAATCACTTGTTAGCAGTTCTCTCATGCCACCTTACTTCAACAGAGATGAATAATCTAATCTTGTTACTTTCTTTAGGTTGCAATTTCCTTGCATTTGGCCTCTTGTTAATCACCACAGTTAGGCCACTTAATCGGTCCAACTTTGTAATTGCCTTATCTCAAATTTGTCAGATATTCTTTTTTAAAAAAAAATATCATCAATTCACGTTAAAAATAGAATTAATTATATTTAGAATAAAAAAATTAGTTTTTTTTAATAAAAAAATTTTAGAATTCAAATTCTATACATCGATAAAAAAAATTACAAACGTTTACCACTAAATCAAGTGCTTCCGACTTATTGTTACGTCAGCTAATTAATCTTTTTTTTCCTATTAAACATTTGGTCAAATAAACATATTGGTTGCCGTAATTTTATACTCAGCTGGATTAAATCAGCCAAATTATCTCATTAATAATACTATTTTTAAATCGAACCTGTGCCTTAGATCAACCTATTTGACATAATAAATACTTCAAAAAAACAAGTGAACTGGGTCACTCTGATCCGACTAAATTGATTGAACAGTTCAATTCTTAATTTTTCTAAGGCTGACCAATTAGATTACAAAACGTATATCAATCCATCTTGCAGGGCACGCAAATCAGCACTGAAAAAACTAAAATAAAATCCTAGTGTAGAGAAGCAGATTCCAAAAGTTGCAGCCATGTCTATGTCCACTTCTCACATCCTAGTCTACCCTTTCCCAGCCCCAGGCCACATGATCCCACTCCTCAACCTAACCCACCGGTTACTCTCCGACGGCCTGATTATCACCATATCGATTACCCCGAATAATCTCCCTTTACTTGCTCCACTCCTCTCCATTCACCCATCCTCTCAGCTCCAACACTTGCTCCTTCCCACTCCACCAAATCCCCCTTCAGGCCTCCTTGCTGAAACTCGTTCGTTGCGCGATCACCACTATCCAATCCTTCTTGATTGGTTCCAATCTCACAGTTCCCCTCCTCTTGCTATCATCTCTGACTTTTTTCTTGGATGGACCAACCAATTGGCTTGCCAAGTGGACATTCCACGAATCGTCTTCTCGCCATCGGGTTCCTTTTCCTTTTCAATCTTCGATTCACTATGGCGTGACCACCCTCAAAATGAAAATCCAAATAACATGGACTTCGTCGTGTCATTTGCTGATGTCCCGAATTCTCCATCATTCCCTTGGTGGCAAATCTCTCATGCTTACAGGAGGTCCAAGGAGGGAGACCCAGATCGGGAATTTTTTAGAGACACCAGCTTGGAGAACTTGAAAAGTTGGGGATTCGTGGTCAACTCGTTTTCCCAGTTGGAACATGTTTATCTCGATCGCATGAAAACTCAGTTTGGAGAGGATCATGTTTGGGCTGTCGGTCCCATCTTGCCAACTGATGGGTCCAGCTCAGAAGTGCCATGTCATGAGGTGCTTACTTGGCTTGATGGGCAAAAAGGTAATTCTGTTCTCTATATTTGCTTCGGGAGTCGAGAAATGCTGACGTGGGAACAAATGGAGGAGCTGGTTGCTGCGCTGGGCGAAAGTGATATCCACTTTGTATGGTGTGCTAGGCAGCCGAGCAGAAGAGACGAGTCGAACGAGTTCGGGGTGCTCCCAGATGAGTTTGAAGAACGAGTTCGGGTGAGCGGGAGGGGTTTCATTGTCAAAGATTGGGCTCCCCAAGTGGCTATATTAGAGCATCCTTCTGTGGGTACCTTTTTGACTCATTGTGGGTGGAACTCGGTGCTTGAAGGGATTGTAGCTGGTGTGGTGATGCTTACATGGCCAATGGGTGCTGACCAATTCTACAATGCACAGTTGGTGGTTGATGAGTTGGGGGTTGGTATACGAGTTGGTGAGGACACTGTAAAAATTCCCAAGTCAACTGAGTTGGCTCAAATATTAAACGAGTCAATGGAGGAGAACAGGCCGGAGAGACAAAAAGCCAGGAAGCTCAAAGAGGCATCATTAGAAGCTGTCAAAGGAGGGAGCTCCAATAAAGATTTGGATCGGCTGGTTAAGAGCCTAAATGCACTCTAAAACTACTCCTGTGTCATTTATCTTCCTTTTTTTTTTTGCTGATTTTTGTTCTTACTTTACCGGAGATGAGAAGCAGTGCAAGATTTGATCATGATAACGTAGGCCAGCCAATATTCATGGGGAATGATGAGCAGGGGCGGACCCAGGTAGAACCCTACAGGGGCCCTAATTCTTTTATCAACCAATCCTCTTTTTTTTTTTTTTTTCCTCTCATGAAATGTCCCATGCGATGCTATATTCTTTTATCTTTTTTATTTTGTAACAATTCTACTTTTAATATGACGTAATCCTAATTCATCTTTTAATTGTTTTTTTTTTTTTTAGAATGCTTCAATTAGAATTTTAATTAACCTACTCATAAATAAGTATATTTTTATATAAAATAATTAATTTGAAGACTTAAATAAATATAAAAATACACTTATTTTTATAGAAACTATTCTCTATGCACATAAAAATTCACCTAAGTTCATAGAATATTCTTACACCTCCTTAATGATTTTTCTATACCCATTGAATAATTTTCAAACATATTTAAAATATTCAAAATAATTTATTTGTATAAAAAAATATTATTCATGTATCAAAAATATTCACCGAACATCAAAAAATTCACCTAATGGCATAAAATAATCTAAAAATCCTCAAGCAAATATTCTATGCAAATAGAACATTTTTCATGCATATTTAAAATACTCAAAATATTTATTTTGCATAAAAAGTTACTATTCATGCATCAAAAACACATAAAATATTCACTCAATATAGAAAAACTATCCTAGAGAGATGCGTTTATCATTTAGGATTGATGTCATTTATAAGTTGATGTAAAAATTTTATCCTTAAGACTTTATCGATCATGAAATGCTGCAATTAAAGATGCAATTTGAGCATTTTGATCGTATACGAAATTTTTCTGATTTCAAAACATTGTCAGTTATATCTGATTTTATGTCAATGGTTGATGAAGACAAGAAAATTTGAAAGTTATTCACTTATGTATAAAGTGATAACACTTATTCTTACTATTCAGCTTTTACGGCTACCACAGAGTGGTCATTTTCAACTATGGACATAGTTAAGACTAAATTTCATAACAAATTTAAAAATGAGTTTCTTTTTAATTTTTTATTAGTATATATTGAAAAAGAAATTGCTAAAAATTTTAGTATAGGTTTGCTTATAAATTATTTTCGTGACCTCGAAAGAACGAAGATTTCTATTTTGAGTGATTGTATTTTAAGACCATTTTAAAATATATATTGGTCTATTATTTATAATATATATAATTTTGTGTAAATCATTATAAATTTATAAATATTTATTTTGATCCCTGTAGACATTTGATCCTGCGTCTGTCACTGATGACGAGGCAGCATGGTTATGGCCAGGTAGCTGTCGCAGATGATGCTCGTTCAAGTTTTCTGCTTGCCGGAAGATCAAATGTCAAGTTTTTAGGGGCAACTCCACCGGTGGACTTGACGTCTCTTCACCAGATCTCACACTGAAACTTTGAGACTTTCAGTACTTTGGCCGCAATATTTTTGCTCCGACAACCTCTTTGAATAGCAAGTTAGGCTATGAAGAATGGGTGAGCATTTATATTCTCTGTTAGAATTTGTATGTCAGCCTCACAAGGACTATTCGAGAATTCTTGATCATTTTAATTTGCTGTAATTGATAATGAAGTTTGATTCTTTTCTGTCATTGTAAATTCTACTTTTAGTACTGGAACCAAGGCATAATCATGATAAATTCATATGACAGATGAGATCATTTAAACAAAAATTTTCTGCAGATGAAATTTTATGAACATCAAATATCGGAAAAGGAAATTTTAGCAATCAAAGAAGTTAATTCTACAACAAAGAGAATGCAGGAGTTCACTGATATGACAAATAAACATCAAAATTCATTTACTCTAAAGTAGACTTCATGCTACTATAAGATGTAGCAGAGAACATGGATGTCTTGAAACTTGCATTTGCTTGAGCTATGACTGATCTCCTTCTCCTTACAATAAGTTTTCAGTTCATCTACGCCACCATGAAAACTACTTTCAGTGGAATTATAAGGCAGAAAGCTGAAAGGGCAGTTTGAATGTACGATTTTGATTTTGATTTTTTTTTTTTTTTCTGTTGATACTGTACAAATGTTGATGCTTAATTAAAAGGACATAAATAATCCAAAAAATACACGAACTGACATTACCTGGGGTCATATATCCAGTAATATTCTACAGTAAAATAAATTCGAGTCTTAATAATTTTTTATTTGATTATTAAGTAATAAAAGAAAATTATTTCCTTGTATAACCTAAAATCCAATCCACGGACCACCAGATGAATAAATAATAATAATAATAGGTCAAAAGTTAAAATAAGAAAAAAATCCAAAGGCGGTGGGTCAAGGTTATTTCGGGCAAAGGATATTATTGCATACTAAGTATGATTTGATTCTAAACTTGGTTGCCTAACAAAACAAAATTCTTAAACGGATCCCCATCTATCAAATAAATTTTATAACATTATTGAAATATTATGCCAAAAATAAATGAGTGAGAAGGATGACATAAATAATTTTGTAGTTAATTCCAAAAAGTAATAAAAGTATATTTTTAGCACTCAACTTTTGATTTTTTTTCTATTTTGCTGTCCAACCATAATTTTTTTTTATTTCACCACCCAAACTTTGATTATTATTATTTTTTTTTTTTTAGCACTTAAAGTCACATGAAAGTATATAATGCTGACTTGTCCAGAATCAACTGCCTCATAACATTTTTAACTGTCATGAGGTAGATATATGACAGTTTATTTTAGATACATCAATATTTCATATCATCAAATGATTATAAGCATTCAAATAAAAAAAAATCAAAACTTCAATATTTAAATAAAACAATTTACCAATTAGCAATAATAATGATAATAAATTATACTCCAAAATTATAGTTTTCTCAACTTTAAAATACCGTATATATTGAACTCATGAGGTTAAAAGAAATAAACTTATAATTCAAGAGGAATTACTTATTTTATTCCATTTTTCAAATAAATGTCAGACCCATCAAAAACAAATTATGGTGGATCTCAGTTTTATGCATAAGGTACGTAATATCGGTGTTTTCAATTAACAGCAACTTATTAACTTGATATATTAACTTGATTTAATCAGGATTTAAAAGTAAATCACAACAAATTTGTGACATTGAGGTGTAAATTGCAAAATTCTGAAATCTAGGGCTAATTTTGAAAAATACTTGAACAGAAAGGAAACCTGTTGAAACATGGAAAGGAAAGATTAATGTCTGTTATTGCAGAAGTGACTTTTCAAAACATCATTAATTTTCCAAATTAATTAAAGCATCACGTCTCTTCACTGCGCTTTATAAATACCTTCTCCTCCACCGTTAATAACACCTGCACGGCTGCACCCTGCGTTTTCCTTCTCTCACCTTTTGAGGTCTCTCTCTCTCTCTCTCTCTCTCCCACTTATTCATGCATTATCTTTTACGTATAATTCTTGTCAAAACTCTAAACATAAAACATCATCAACCATTTAAAAAAAAAAAAAAGCAATAAGAAGAAGAAGAAGAAGAAGAAAGGTAGCAGATAGAAGCTTATGAGATATGGAGGGAGGGTTAGCTGGAGAAAAAAGTTAAGAAAAGAAAGTACAAAAAGATAAAGAGAGAATCCCCTTTTTCTACGTTTGGTTTCTTTTTTTTTTCTTTTTTTTCCATTTGTTTAAACCATTAAACAAGTAATTAATTTATAGAAGGAAAATATATATTAAAAAGAAGAAACAGTTAATAGAAACGGTTATGATTTTAAAGAATTTACTTAATTTTTATCTGCTTAATCTTTGATTTAGTGGCATATTGTAGAAAGAAGAAAGGGACAATTTGACCACTTTTTTTTTCTTTTCTTTTTCTTTTTTTTTGTTTTTTTAAGGTTTGTGTGTTCTGGATCTCTCTTTTTGCCTTTCCTTTTCTTCGCGTTAATTTCACTTTCAAACAGTCCTTTTCATACGAAAATTTCTGCCCTATCCTTTTCTTGCACTCCAAGTCTCTCCCCGCTGCCTTTGTGTTTATATATCAATATATGAGTTTTGTGTGTGCGGTTTAGTATTGGTAGCATCTGCTAAATTTGTTGAACTCTGTGCTGCAGGTTGCAGTCTTCTGGTGGAAGATAGAGAAATTGTAGAGGAATAAAATCAGGAAGAAAAGAAAATAAAATTAATGGGTTTCTATAATCAGATTCTGTTTCTTCTAATCTTAATCTCACTTTCACCAAGGTGCCAATCATGGGGTTGGTTCTCTTCTTCAACAGAGACTCACTCCACTGATAATTCACAAACAAATGGTTTGCCCCATGGTTCTGTAGTGGAATTTTCTATGAATGGTCTCAGTGATGAGAAGGGAATGAAACTAATCGAAAAAGCCAAGAGTAAAATTGTTGGCACAAATTCTTGTTGGCAGAATGCTTATCAGCATCTCTTTGCCGGCTGCTCACAGATTCTTGCCGTTGAGGAGAAGCGGTCGAGATTTGCTTGGCACCTTAGTGATTGCTTCCAAAAGGACTCTGGACGGCCAGCTTTTCCTTACTGTGACACAAAATCTGCCATGATTAATTGTCTCAAAATGTTGAATGACAATGAGCACAAGATTTATCTTGAATTCTTACTGGAAACCAATTCCATCTGCTATCAGTTACAGTTAAGTATTTTTTTTTTTTTTTTTTTTACTATTCTCGCCATACTTCTCTTGTTTTATACTTATGTGATACATACTCACAAGAATTTTTTTTCTTTTACTTATAGGGCCCATGCCTTCAACAATAAAATGGAGAGACTAGTGAATGATCTTAAGAATTCAGCAGAATATACTGAAGAACAGTTAGAAATCATTGAAGGAAAAACTCACTCCCTATTGCAGAGATCCAATCAGATTCAGGATTCATTGAGTTCAATAGATATTCAAGTTGAAAATGTTGCTCAAACAACAAAAGATGCAAAGGATCACATGGATGTTTTATCTAAGCACTCTGAAGCTGTTTATAAACATTCGAAGGAAATTGCACATTCTCAATCAGAGCTGCAAGAGGGACAAGCAAAAATGAATGAAAATTTGAAGGAAGGGATGTCGGTGCTTCATGATGCTTACACCAATCTAGGCCAAGAAGTGGACAATGTGAGAAATGAGGCTGTTGAGATAGAGAAGCAGATTGGCAGAGTTGGAGAAACATTGTCTTCAAAGATGCATACTTTACAAAATTCAGCTGATGATATTGAGAACATGGCAGGGAAGTCCTTGGATAAGCAGAAACAACTTCTAGATGGGCAATCCAATGCACTTAAGGGTCTTCAAATCCTAACACAATTTCAATCAGAAGCATTAGAAGAGAGCAGGTAAGTAGGAAAACCAAAATCACTAGTGTTAATTAAAAGTAATAAAATTATAGAACTTAACTGACATAATTACCGAATTACAGGAGTACTCTGCAACACTTTGCTGAGTATGGCCGTAAACAGCAGGAAGAGCTTCTTCAGCGGCAAGAACAACTTCAAAAAGTCCATGACCACTTGGTTGAAAATTCAAATTCAATATTGGCAGCTCAGGTTAGTGTTTCCATTGAGCCTTATGATTTCCATATAAGTTTTTGTTGAGACATGCTTTATATGACATTATTTTCCCATTTTTTTCAGGAAGCTTTTGAATCAAAGCAAGCAAACATGTTCATTGCTCTGGAGAAGCTGTTCGCTTTGCAAAATGCCATGCTCCTTGAATCACGAATAATTAAAGCTTTCATCCTCTACACTGCATCAATCTTCATTGTTTATATGTTCACCAGTACAAAACAAACATATACCATAAGAGCAAGGCTTTATGTTGGTATGTATGTTGACTTGTATTTCTTTTATTTTGTCTTCCTGTATTTTGATATTTAATAAATATTTTTGTAACTAGTTTGAATTTGATTTTGGTTCACAGGTCTTGTTGCTACATTCCTGGTAGAAGTTGCAATACTTCGGCTCACAACAAATAGTCTAGAACGACAAACATGGCTAATTAATGCGGTCAGGTTACTCTATGGGATTCTTGCCTTTGTTCAGTTTCTACATGCCATTTTCACATACAGGTTGGTAAAGGTAGATTTATAACAATTGGGTTACACAGCATTTAAATTTTCTGCATGTAAAAGATTTCTTTTCAAATTATGCAGGGACTATGAAGTTTTGAATCATCACTTGATACTAAACCTAATGGATAAGATCAATGTCCTGCAAAAAAATAAAGAGTTGTCATGGGAAACAGATAGTGACATGGACTGGTCTTCATGGATTGAAACAGAGTTACCAGAAAGGGACGACAGTTTGGAAGACCCTGACTTCAAAGTTCCAGAAGAAGTTGCAGAGAATTCAATAACAACTACTTCCATGACAAGAAAATATAATCTACGCTGCCGCCAGCATATGGGAAAATTCCTGAATCTCTAGTCATAGTTCAAGACTAATGCCTAGAATTTCCTTATTGATGATTTTAACCTGCTTATATTTATTATTTTCTTTTCTTTAACCCATCTCTGTAAAGATGGTATAATTCTGTTAGCGAATGCAACATATTGTAACTTTATTTTGTTAATTAAGATAAAAACAAATAAATAAATAAATAAAACCAACAGTAGTGGATTCAACATATTACTATTGATCTACTGTGCTTTGACTGCTTTCCGAAGACAAGGAGTACATTTTTACATGATTTTACATATGCAGTCCTTTTCTACCCATTGATTCACATAGTTTTAAAAGATTCTCATCTGAACTTTCAATGTCTAGCAAGAGAATTAACCAGTATTCTGCTCCAAGGATTTTCAGCTACTGTAAAGTTTCAATTATGACATAAATATGGCCTGGGGTTTTACTAATTAAAAGGATAAAAAGTTCTTAAAAAATGTAAATCCGAGTTAATTTAAGCATAGTATTCAGTAATTCTAGAATATGTTGTAATATGAAATCATGTGATGGTCTAATTAAAGAAAAAATTAAGAATAAAAGGGTTCAAACAATTCTGCACTGGTATGATGAATCACCAGTAATCATTACAAGAGCACGCACCTTCTTTGAAATGGTGGAAGCGGTTTGTATCCCTCAAAACAATGACCCTCCCTGTCACTCTTGAAACTATCTTGATCCAAGAGTGACAATCTACACAAACACGAAGGTTCTTTGTAATCCTGATTGGCATTCCAGCAGCAGTGTGTATAAGAGCAAAAACAGTTGCTAAGCGCTCACTGTGCCCACATACCCATGTTGCCTTTATTTCTTCATTTACATCATGAAGCACCACATCTGTGTTGGGGACATAACCAACTTTTTCCATAGCTTCCGTCAATTTGTTCCAAATCTTCTTATATTCATCAGAATTACGAAACTCAAAGCCTCCACCAGCCACAAAAGTGTGCATTTTATTCTTTACCTGTATCCAACTACATCCAGCCTCTTTCATGATTCTTCTTGTTTGCATCATCTCTCTAACCATATTTACAGAGCCCCACATCCCTACATTTGCATAAATGTTTGAGAGCATCACATAGTTCCCAGGATTATTTGGCTCAAGCTCAAACAACCGCTTTGCAATAGCTTCTGCAAGAGGGACCTCATTATGTAGGCGGCAAGAGTTGAGCAAGGATCCCCATATGCTACCACTCGCCTTCATGGGCATGGTTTTCACTACCAACAGTGCATCGTGAATTCTTCCAGCTCTGCCTAGCATATCCACCAAACAAGCATAATGCTCTAAACTTGGAGAGACCTCAAAATCCATTTCCATTCTATGAAACAATTTCTGCCCACCTTCTGTTAGCCCAGCATGGCTACAGCCTGATAGCAACGCAATGAATGTGACTTCATCCGGCCTTACACCACATGAAAGCATTTCATTAAACAAATCCATCGCCTCCCCCATACATCCATTGATTGCATATCCAGTCAACATAGTATTCCAAGTTGTCAAGTCTTTACTTCTCATTCCATCAAACAGTCTTCTGCCGGAATTAAAAACTCCACATTTCACATACATATCCACAAGGGAATTTAGCACTAGGACATCTGGTCTTCTCACTGACTTAACAATTTGCGCATGTATCTCTTTCCCACTATGGAGAGCTGTCACTCGTGCACAAATCGGCAAAATCGTAGTGAGTGTGACCCAACTAAACCCCATTCCCTCTCTTTGCATCCTTCTAAACACATCAAGTGATTTTCCCAATTTATCTTCTTTAACCAAACCAGAAATCATAGAATTCCAAGAAACAACATTTCTTTCAGGCATTTGATCAAACACCTTCAAAACTTCATCAAAACACTCGCACTGTGTATACAACCTCAGCACAGCATTATTCACCACTTGATCAGGCTCTTCAATAGCCTTAATCACTTGTCCATGAACTCCTCTACCAACCCACAATTCCCTCAAATCCGCACACGCTTTTAACGCCACGGAAAACGCAAAATTACCCGGCTCCACACAATTCCACAGCATCTCAATATAAACAAGCAGAGCATCTCTGAATAACCCATTTTTTGAATACCCAATTCCCATTGCCACCCAAATTGACTCGGGCAACCCTTCATTTTCAAGCCCATTTTCAAAAATTCGGCGTGCCTCATCAAGTTCGCCACAGACAGAGAAAAGGGTGATTAGCTTCCTCTTCAAGTTAGGATTTTGAATAAGTTTTTTATTGTCCTCTTGGTCAATTGCAAGGAGCTGTTTATATACTCTTTGTCCATGCTGTAATGATTTTTGGGAAATACAAGAATGTAAGAGCAGACCGTATGTCTCGGGATCAGTAAATTTGGACGGTGAAGATTCGATCAAGCGAATTGCCTCGTCGAGTTTGCCGGATTTCGTGAGAGATTTAAGCGTTTGATTGAGAGCTTGAGGGTTTTTGGGGGGTGTTTTTTGGGTTTTAGGGCCTGAAATGAGAGTTAAGTTAGTTGGGATTGGTGTGTTAGTTAAGACGGAAATGGCGGGAATCATTATCAGAAGTTGGTAGTTGTAGTTCGGCTTTTTGGACCTTCGGTTTATGTAGGTTTCAGAGAGCGAGAGATGATAGGGTAGGTTGGGCCATGGGTGGATGGATTTGAGTGTAGAAATTTGGAATTTGGGTTGTGATTTGAAGCCCAACCCAATACTTTTTTCTTTTTTTTTTTACCAAAAAATAAATCTCATTAAGAATACGAGAGTAAATTATAAATTACTCCATTTAGATTCGATAAAATGAAGTAATTAATCTTTTTTTAAAAAAATATTTAATTTCTTGATCAGTATTGACCACTTTCAATTTAATATTCTTTTTAAAAAAATATTTTTTTTCATCAATCTTTTCATTATATATATTGTTTTTTAAATAAAAAAATAAATTAGAAAATAACATAAAATGAACTAAAAAGAGTTAAATGATTGATTTTTGAAATAATCTGGACTAATTAATTTGTTTCTCAAAATAGAGAGACTAATTTATAATTTGCTCCTCGTTAAGAATATGAAATTAGATTTGTTATGGTTTTAAAAAAAAAAAAAAAACTTTAGATGATGAGCTAATAGATCATGGTCTTAATACATTGATCACCTCAAATAAAGTATTACTCTTTTAATAATCAGGTATCATTGAACCGTTTTTCATAGATCGATATTAATTTTTTTTTTTTAATAAATTTTAAATGAATAATTCATATCAGAACCATCCATTTAGGAGAAATATATTTTTTGCAGCCTACTTATTACCTAATAAGCTAATTACTCAAAAGTATATGGCAAGATTAATTTGTTAAATCAAACGGTTATTAACAAGCTTTTTATTTATTTATTTAATTGATAAAGAAATTTATATTTGAATATGATATCATGCCAAATTGCCAATTAATTCATAAACAATGAATTTCTTAAGTTTAAGGACATTCCCTTTCCTCTATTGGGAATTTCTTGTTCTTCCATAAGAATTTGATAAGATTCCTTCTGCATATAATTACAGATCCATTCATGAACAAGTAAATGTAATAAATAAATAAATAAAATTTCTTCTCAATTCAAATCTTGATTATGGCCACAGAATATCATAATTTCCATTGGAACTCCGAGCGGACTACTGGAGATAAGCTGGAGGAAGGTGAGGATTACGTCAAGTCATCATGTCCCTTATTCCCTGAGCGACACACATGCTACAATGGCCGGAACAAAGGGTGGAGATCCGGTGAGGATGAGCATCCCAGGGCACAACTCCAGACAGGCGGTGGAAACTACCAAGCTGAAATGCGGCAGGGGCAGAGGAAATTTTCGGTGGACCGGTGTATGCATAGAATAGAATGATCTCAACAAGAATTGATGTTTCCTAGGGTCCTGCTCTGAGAACTTTGCCACTGCCAAATTTCTTCATAACATTATTTCAATGAACAACTACAATGAGTTCAAGACTAGTCTGATCACAAATACACAGATTTACAATCAAGATCAATAGATTTCATAATGGCATCCACCACTATTTGAGTCTTTCTACTGATCTCCGGCCATCTTTTATCCGGTCGGAACTCAGATTTCTTAATGCCCTGAACTAGCCTAGCAAGCTCTTGAACCATCAAAGCCTCTTGAGGAAGTTCATTAGGCACAACAACCTTTTCAGGTTTCACATTCCATCCAATATGCATATCCACAAACTTTGCACCTAATGTCAAGTCAAAGAAAGCAGAATCCTCCTGATATGGGATGATAAAATCCATAAGGTGCAACGATCCCTTCAAACCGGTTATCGACAAGTCCATGGATGAATGGGAGAAAAAGAGTTGTGAATGATTGCAAGTGTCTTGTGATCTTGATCATATTGTAAGCAGGCTGTACATGATAAAATGACTCCAGCTGAGTTCTTGGTTACACTATCTGGTAAAGCAGAAACTGCATCTGGTAGTTGGTAATTTTTTGCCCACAAGACTGCTTGAATGCAGTACCAGCCCAAATCACCAAGTACACCAAGAGCATCCATATCAGGTTTCACTCTAATATCGTTCTCAAAAGATTCAGGAGGCAGTTTAGTTGTTGATGTGCTATAAACCTGAATATTATAAAAACAATTAAAAACTTCAAGAGGCATTTTAGACTTCTAGCTATTAGCACTTAAGAGGTTTCGAGGCGTAGTTGAAGAAATTTACAGACTTCTAACAGTTAAAAAATGGTTGTCCTGAAAGACAGAGTACAGAACTTACAGAGTCAACTGGTCCAACAAGATTGGAACCAAAGAGTAGCTCCTCCATCTTCAGGGTCCTAGGGTGGTGCAGCCACATAGAGCCATCCATGAATTGTACACCATTTGATTCACAAGCTTCCAAGATCTTGTCCAAATCTCCAACATCAAGAGCAGCTGGCTTCTCTAACAGCAGATGCTTCTTCTTTTGGGCAGCCAAGACTGCCCACTGAACATGAAGACTAGTTGGCAATGGCAAGTAAACAGCATCAATGGATGGATCATCAAGTAATTCTTCATAGCTACCATAAATCTTGACTGTCTCTGGCAATTGATTGTGTGTGGCAAAGTGCTTGGCTTTTTCTAGGGAGCGACTTGCAATTGCATACAGAATTGAGTTGGGTGCTAAGCTTATGGCTCTTGCAACTTTCCTAGCTATCTTGGCACATCCTAGGATACCAAACCGTACTAGGTTCTCAGCCATAGTTTTTCTGGATTTGGCTGGTTGTGTCTGATGATTTCTTGGAGTTGCAGAGGAATGCTGTGCCAGGAAATAGCGTTCAAGACTATTCGATGAGAAGGTGATGTGGTGGCATCCTTTACACCGTAGAACATGTGGATAGGGTTAGGGGGCGTTTGATTTAGACATTTTTAGATGTTTTTTATAACGTTGTTATAGAAAATCTGATATTTGCATTTGATTGAAAAAAAAATTGTAGTAATTATTGTATTTGGTTCATCGTTAAAAAAATATTACAAATTTATGAGAAATCTTAAAAAATTTATAATTTTAATTTTACAACTTATTACAAAAATTATTAAAAAAAAAAACTAAAACAAAACCTAAAATCATGTTCACACGAAACAAACTACTGTAGATTGACTGTAGCTCAGTCCACGGCTCTTTTTTTTTTTTCCCCTATCTTTCTATTTCCTTCTCTTTTCCTCTCATCTCAACCTTTCATTTTTAACATTAAATCCTAACCCTCAATTTACCAAAAATACAATCCATATTATTCTCTCTACAACCAATGATTGACCGCCACATGTCCCACCTTATCTCATTCATTTTAAAAAAAAATTCATTTTATTTTCTCATCGACCTTTTCTCTCTTTCTCTCCTCTCATCTCCTCTTCTCTGTGTTTCTTTACCAAGAACAAAGCATTTCTACTTAGTCTTCCTTCACTACTAAAGTGATTTTAATGTGAGTTAGAAATTGGCTATGTATTATTAAGTTTTGTTACAGTATATATAAGTGTACAAGGATGCGAGTTGTACAAGGATGCGAGTTCTAGACTTAGTGGACTATCATTTGACTTTGCTTGTACTTATCTATTATGTGTGTTTATCCGTAATACGCCCCCGCAAGATGGAGGCACCATTGGTGACGCCAATCTTGGATCTTAGTGCACTATATTGGTGCTTGCTGAGTGCATTGGTGAGTATATCGCAATGCTGATCTTTGGTGGAGATGTGAAGGACTTTGAGGTCGCCTTTGGTGACACATTCTCTCACAAAATGATAATCTAGAGAGATATGTTTCATGCGTGAATGGAAGACAGGATTTGCACATAGATATGTTGCTCCTGTGTTGTCACGGAAAATAGTAAGTGCTGCTTTGAGTTTGATGCCCAATTCTTTGAGAAGATTTTGGATCCAAATGATGTCAACGAGTTGTGTTTGCGATTGCTTTGTACTCGGCTTCGGATGACGAGCGTGACACGGATTTCGACAACTGGATTTCCAAGATATTGCATTAGACCCCAAATAGATGATATATGCGAGTAGTGGACCGACCATCATCTCTCGTTTCCACCCCAATCCGAGTCACCGAAACCATTCAATTAAAGAGGAGTATCCTTGCGTAGGAATAGGCTATGGGTGATCGTTCCTTTTAAGTATCGAAGAACTCTCTTTAGGGCGGTCCGGTGGAGCTCGTTGGGGAGTGCATGTATTGAGAAAGTTTGTTTATTGCAAATGATACATCCGGACGTGTGAGTAATAGGTATTGCGAGCTACCCACTAACCTCCCGTGCCGAGTAGCGTCAACTCGTGAGGTACCATCTTTAAGGAGGAGTGGCGTGGAGGGGCACATTAGTGTGGCTACCTCTTTCGCCCCAATCATGGAGAATTTTTCCAATATATCCGCAATGTGGCGATGCTTGAGATAGGAACGGACCTTCCGTAGTGTGAATGACTTCGACCTCTAGAAATTAGTGTAGTGTACCTAGATCTTTGAGGGAGAAACGATTTGCCGGACATCTGAATGAAGGACTCCAGATAGTGATCATTGTTCCCTGTCAAGACAATATCATCAACATATACTAGAAAATATGCACAAACACCGAGCATTATTATATATGAAGAGTGATGAATCCGCCACGGAGTTTTGATAGCCTAATTGCGGTAGATAAGCCTTGAGTTCTTCATACCAAGCTCTAGGTGCTCGTTTTAATCCATAAATCACTTTCTTTAATTTGCATCTATGGTTCGGAAGAGATGGGTGTATAAATCCGGAGGATCGTACCATGTAGACATCTTCGGAGAGAGTGCCTCGAAGAAAGGCATTGTTGATGTCCAATTGTCGCAATTTCTAATTGTTGTCGAGAGCTAGACCGAGCAATAATCCGATTGTGGCGGGTTTTGATACCGGATCGTAAGTCTCCGAGAAGTCAAGGCTCAGGCGTTGATGATAGCCCTTGGCCACCAATCTAGCTTTGTATTTGGCCACTGTTCCATCCGGGTTTCTCTTAATGCGAAAAACCCATTTGCACCCGACAAGATTTTGCATGTTCCAGGGAACCAAGTCCCGTGTCCCATTTCGCATCGGCGCATTGAACTCCTCGGACATGGCTTCACGCCATTTGGGATCCGACATGGCGAGATGAGTGTGTCTTTGGTTCAAAGAAGGTGGGCATAGGGTGTCTTGTGGTGTGGTTTATAAAATGAGAGTTGAAGTATTTCGGGTTAGGTTTTCGAGCTTGAGATGTTACGAGATGATGGGTAGGTGGGGCTGGAATGGCCGATGATATGGTTTCAAATTGTGGTAGTATGTTTGTTGCAGTAGGTGAGGATGGGGAAGAAGACGGGTTCGAGTTAGGAGGAGTTATTGTGGCGGTGGGAGTATTTGATGCTGGGGCGGACAAGTTGGGTTGTGATGTGGGGTGGGTTTGGTGGGAGGCCAAGTGAGTTTGTGTTCGTTGGTATGAGGTCCGGAGTGGGACGGTGAATGGGGTGATGGGCTGACATGGGTGTGAGAGATTCGGTGGGGTGATTGTGGGCTAGATTTTGAGAACACGCGGGCTCGAGTAGGTCTGGTCTAGATATGTTAAAGTTGGCCAAAGTGTTGATACTAGTTGAGGGGGTAGTTTCATGTTGTGAGTGGGCGAAATGTAAGGTGAAACTTTTGAGAAAGTAAATGCGGGGAGAGAGGGACTTACGGATGGATATACGATGGAGAAGCCTTGTCCTTTCGGGGAAGAGTGAGGTCTGGGCATCTTCGCTGCATTGGGAAGAGATTTTCAATGAAATTGACATGGTGTGAGACGTAGAATTTTTTCGTGATTGGATCAAAACATTTATATGCTGATTGATTTATGGAATATCCTAGAAAGATGCAAGATGTTGATCGTGGTTGAAGTTTGGATGTTGTGTAAGGATGAAGCCAAGGATAGCACAAGCATCCGAAGATTTTTAGACGGGTGTAGTTGGGAGTACGGTGAAAGAGGAGTTGGTAAGGTGATCGATTTTGAAGGACTGGTGTTGGAAGACGATTTATCAAATAGGCGGCGGTTTGAAAAGCAAAGGCCCGAGTAAGAGGATGGTAGTGAGGCGAGTGTGAAGTAGAGTAAGTCCTGTCTCTACAATGTGTCTATGTCTTCTTTCAAAAGTGCCATTGTGTTCGGGAGTGTAAGGGGGTGTTTTAAAATGGGAAATGCCATGGGTATTGAGAATTGATTTGAGGGCAAGATATTCACCTCCATTATCCGTGTAAATGGCAATCGAGAGGTTTTTGAAAAAAATTTTCTACAAGTGCTTTAAATTATGGAAATAGAGTTGATACCTCGGATTTTTTTCTCATAAGATAGAACCAAATGTATTTGCTTGTAATGGTCAACGAAAATTATATAGCATACTATACCCATCAATTGACAAATCTGTTGGGCCCCAAACATCGGAGTAAACAAGTTCAAGTGGTTGAGAACTATGCAAAGAGTTTTACGAAAAAGGAAGACGATGACTTTTATTCGAGTGCACATAAACTACAATGAAATTTAGAAGACGAAGAAGAGTATGAATGTAAAACGTCGACATTGAGAGCAAAGCGAAGAATTTGCACTTGTTGGATGACCAAGGCGTTGATGCCATACGGCTAGGGAAGATGTGGTGGTATGGTGGACTTGTGGGCTGACGGACGGTGGTAAGTGATAGACATCATTGATGTTCTCCCCACGAAGTAGAGGCGCCCCCGTGCGTAGATCCTTCACATGAAAATAAAAGGGAAAAAATTCAAGGAAAACTTGGTTAGTTTTGCAAAATTTGGAAACGAGAGATAAGGTTTGTTTTAATAGAAGGTGCACGTAGTATGTTGTCTAAGAGAAAAGATTGATTGTTGTGAGTAAGTGTGGTGGTGCCTATAGAGGAAATTTTTAAACCTATACCATCGCCAATACCGATCTCATCCGGGCCACCATAGTCCGAATAAGAGGCCAAGTTTTGTACCTTACTAGTAACATGATGCGAAGCTCCAGAGTCAAACAACCATGGTTGAGTTGCATTCATACCTAGGGAGGCTGCATTAGCCGTAGGTATTGAGGATGTGTGTTGAGTGTTTGAGCCCACAAATATGTTATTTGTTTTGAGAAATTTTGATAACTTGCGACGGTCGAGGGTGAGGTGACACGGTATCTCACAAAAGTTGCAAAAGGATGCTTGGCTTGCTTGGAGTCCTTTAGGTGTTTGGGCGTGAGTTTTGCCGAGGTTGAGCGAGATGGAGATTGGTGGTTATGGCCACGGCTACGGAGTTCCATAGTGGTCGAGAGGTGCCATGTGGGAATGCGGAGTTCCAAGTGTTATGAGTCGAGGTTGTCCGTGAGGTATAATGAGGTCATTGCAAGTGTGAATGGTGGGCTAGTATTTTGTTCTTCGTTGGAGCCTTCGTTCATACTCTTCTAATCGGTCAAACGAGTTCATCGAATGTTATTGTTGTGTCACATACACGGACAGCAACGGCTATATAGGAAAATTCTTCACCGAGCTCCTTTTAAGATGTGCATGATAAGGTCTTCTTCTGCTATGAGGCTATCGAGCAATTGCAAGGGCATCGACGATAGCTTCGACGTCTTGAAGATATTCAGCTATTGTGCAAGTGCCTCGAGGATTATCATGTAGTTTTTCTTTCGGGGACATGATGCGAGAACGGGATTTGTTAGCAAACATAATAGAGAGTCTAGACCATGCCTCGTATGAAGATGAGACTACCGATATGTGTGATTGAATTTCGGGGACACGACTTCCTAAGATGGCATTTAGGATGAGCTGGTCCTGTCGATACAAAGTGAGATATGTGGGGTTGATAATTGTTTTGGTTGTGTCTTTGGGATCCGGAGTTTGTTTTGGTGGGGAGGATGAGCCATCAATTTGATGGAGGAGGTTGTAGCCAATAAGTGCAGAGTGCAATTGTGTACGCCATACGGAGAAGTTGGATTTGGTAAGCTTGGTGGGAAGATGAGTGGGAGCATTAAAGGAAAAAATTTGGTTTTCAAGAGTGGAAGAGGCCATGGATTGGTTTGTGAAGCTTTTAAGGCGTGTAAGGCTACGATACCGTAAAGTGATTTTAATGTGAGTTAGAAATTGGCTATGTATTATTAAGTTTTGTTACGGTATATATAAGTGTACAAGGATGCGAGTTATACTAGGATGCGAGTTTTACAAAGATGCAGAGTTGTACAAGGATGCGAGTTACGGACTTAGTGGACTATCATTTGACTTTGCTTATACTTATCTATTATGTGTGTTTATCCGTAATAACTGTAATAACTACAAAGTATGTATGGATGTTTTTCTTGGTTGATTAAAGACTACATGTTTCCTTTTGTTCTTCCACCAAGCATTTAATGCTTATGTGTTGATTTTGGCAGCTTTGATTTCTTTCACCATTTTTCTTCTTTTAGCATATTTGGATCTTCCTGGTGGCGGCTTAGAAAGCTGCTTCCTATTTTGTATACAAACAAACAAATATTCACCAACACTAATAAACAAATAATAACATTACCTTTATCATTAAAAAAATTAAAATAAAACAAATATTTAACTTATAAATTGAATTACACAATTCTACATTTAATATATGCAGAAGAAACCTTTAAAAGAAATTAAAAATGAAACATGCATGTTTTGAAAAGATTATCGTCCCATTGAAAATAAAAAAGAAAAAGAAAAAAAGAAAAAAACATTTTCTAATATCTCACCTTTTACGCAATCAATTACATTAATAAACAATTTTAATTTTTTTAAAACTTGTTAACGTAGTTTTCAATTCAGAATTAACAAATCTCTACATAACAAAAATTAAAAAAAGAAAAAAAAACATTTTCTATTGTCTCACTTTTTACACAATCAATTGCATTAGTAAACAATTTTAATTTTTTTTTTAATTGTTAAGATCGTTTCAATTCAGTATTAACAAATCTCTAAAGAAGAATTATTTTACCAATAAAAAAAGGATGTTTCATCTAAATAAAAAACATAAACATACATTAATCATATAATAAAAAATTAACCTCGAAATTTAACATTTCTCTTATAACTTATATCAATTATCATCATAAAAACTATTTAAATGTAGATTTACTAACCTTTTTTTTTTTTCAGAACACTCTGTTGCATTTCTTATACCTGAAGGCGTGCTATTTTTTCTTTCTAGGTCAGTTTCCATATTTGAAGCTTCTTTTTTTCTATATATTTGCTCTGTTGTGGTGTTTGTATGTGCTGGTTTATTTTTTGTGGTGGTTTTTTCTTATTTGATTTTTGATTTCTATCTTGGTTGTTGTTGCTTTTTCTTTTGTATATATATTTTATTTTTAATTTGTGCTTTCTACCTATGGTATAGTTTTCTATTATGTTGAAAATTTTGCTTCTCCTTCTTTTTGCATAGTTGCTACTTTGTTTTTTTTTTTTTTTTAATTACTTTGCCTAGGATGTTAGGTCATTCCTATTGTCGTTTGTTTTGTTGTTTCATAACTTTGGCTATCTCATGTTTTTTTTTTTTTCTGGTTGATTGAGAATAAAAAGTTGGGTATAAAAATTTTTTTGCATTTTTCCTTTTTTTTTTGTTTTCTTTTCTTTTGTTGTTTTTTTTTTCTGTACGGATTTTATGTTTTGCTTGGCCTTTTGTTGTTTGAGGTTTCTCTTTCAAAACTCTTGATGTTACCAGCCGTATTACAACTTCTCATTCGCTTTTTTTTTTTTCTTTCAAATCTCTTTACTTTTTTGGATAGTCAAATATCTATTTGTTATTTGTTTCTTTTTTAGGCTCCAGTTATCCTTTATTTTCCAGGGCGGGTGGCTCTCTCTATATCCAAGATCTTTTTTTATACAAGTATCGTTCAATTTGGATTTTTAAGATTCTTTATAATTATTTGTTTGTTTATTGTTGGCTACTATCATTCAAAATTTTGGATCATACATTTTGTTGGAGTTTTCTCTTCTTTAATTTGTTTGTTTGTTTATTGTTGGCTACTAGCCTTATTTAGATTACTTTCCAGTGACAAATGGCTTGACCATACATCCAAAACGTGTTAAACATAGAAACCAATTTCACAGAATGGCCTCCAAAAGACAATTAATTCCTATCTGTGCTTCTTCTTCTGTTAATTTCACTGCCATACATACTTCCCAGTTGATTATCGGACCAAAAGGAAATACAAGATAGAAATGCATATGCATTTGGTAAACACAAAAGCTTCTTTTCCCATTAATCTGTAAGAGAAAAAACAACATATATATACATATATATATATATACCTTTGCTGCATTGGATGTTTCTCGATGGAACTGCAATATTTTTCCTAGGGCAGAAAGCCAGAAACAGCAGCATCATAGGCCACTACATATTCGATGTCCAATGCCATAGGAAGCCCATCACAGATTCTAAACCAGAAACTGCCACTGCCAATAGAGAAACAATG